TTGTAACTCTCCGTTGTTAAACTGGATCGAATTTTTCGGGTCCGTCGGGGTATCGGCTCCTACACAGATGCCCCGATACTGCCTGAGTATTTATTATGATGATTTACTTGGTTTGGCTAGCAGAGGAATTCGTAATGCGCGTTTCATCCTTTTTGGGACTCGTCAGCCGGATATATCTGGACCCCAGTGAGTGATGTTGTTCCCATCGAGTCTCGCACCTCATACCCATTGCTTCAAATGCCAAAGCTTTATCCACTAGGCCACGACACGTACCTCTTGTGCAATATGTTTTAGTTATTACTATTGGTTGATATACTTTCACTTCTCTGTTATGCTGTACCGAACTGTTCGGCCTCGGTTAGAGGTTTGAGACTCAGTGAGAACAACATCACTCACTGGGGTCCAGATACATCTCGCTGACAAATCCCAAATAGGATAAAACGCGCATTCTGGATTCCTCTGCTAGCCACAACCAAGTAAATCATCATAATAAATACTCAGGCAATAACGGAGCATCTGTGTAGGAGTCGATATCCGGACAGACTTCGAACAATTCAATCCAGTATAACAATAGAGAATCGAAAGTATATCAACAGGTAGTAATAAATAATACCCATTGTACAAGAGGTGGCTCTTGTGTCTTAGCGGCCTAGTGGAAAACGCTTTGGCGTTTGAAGCAATGGGTATGAGGTTAGAGTCCCAGTGGTAACAATATTACCCACTGGGGTGTAAGTACATGCAGCTAACGTTATAGTATAGTTTGAAAATTTTTGTTACTGTTAATGAACACCGATAACTGTGATTATTGCTTTAATTATTATTATTATTATTTATCTCTTGGGTTCCTAGTGGAACATAAGGCTTCAGTAGCACGTCTCCTTTCCACTCTGTTGTCTACAGTCTTTTGAACCTGGCTCCATGACTTCCCAGAATCTCTCATTTCTTCCTCACACGATCTCTTCCATGTCACCCTTGGACGCCCAGCTCGTCGTTTCCCATCTAGCTTCCACTCGAGGGCCTGGCGCATGATGTCCCCGAATGGTCTTCTCAGTGCATGCCTAATCCATCTCCACTTCCTTCTGCATATTTGTTGAGCGATAGCTTCTTGGTTGGTTCGTTACTTGGCCAGAGTTCCTTCTTGCTCATTCTTTCTGGCCATCTGATCTTCAGTAGCGAGCCAGCGTAGACAGTTGTTGATGAATGTCTGTAGTTTATTGGAAATCCCTTTCGTAACGCGCCAAGTCTCTCAACCATATAAAAGCACTGACTTGACTGGGTTGGTGTTGAAAATCCGGATCTTGTTCCACATTCTGAGTGCAGTCGATCTCCACACTGGTTTCAGGCTAATGAACACCTGTCTTGCTTTTCCGATCCTGGCTTTGACAACCTCGTCTGTGCCACATGTAGTTGAAACAGTGCTGCCTAGATAGGTGAAAGGGGCTACTTCCTTTAAGTTTCTCCCATTGATGGTGATTGGAGCTTGTTGTTGTTGTCATTGGTGGTGGTAGTGTTGGTTGGGTATCCTCATCACCTCTGTCTTCTCTACATTCACTTGAAGTCCCGTCTTGGCTGCCTCTTCTGTCAACTTCTTAGTTTTCGCTTGTAGATCTTCAAGTTTGTGTGACATTAGACATAAGTCATCGGCGAAATCTAAATCATCTAGATTCTTTTCCGCAGTCCAGCGTATTCACCTCTTCTCGCTCCTCACTGTTTGTTGCATGATCCGTCCACTACAATCAGGAATATTATGGGTGATAATAGACAGCCTTGTTTTACTCCTATCCTCACTCCAAAGGCATCACTGAGCTCCCCATTATGAATTACTTGCTAATAAGGTTATTGCTTTTAGTACTTTTGTTTTAAGGCATCAAAAGTCAATCAGATAACAGCAATGACATGTGGATATGTATAACTTGGCGAATTAATTGAATCAATTACTGTTCATTACAAAGTTGTCTATATATATTTAACATTTTTAACTGAGTTGATAATTTACCCAAAGTTTTTTTTCTTTTTGCGCTTTTTTTCTATCACTGTCTTTTAAGCTTTGCATAATGTAATCAACAAAGTAAAGCAGAAATATCACTTAACTCACTATATAAAAAGTGTTTTGTTTTTTTCACCTTCATCAAACATTTTAAGTTTAGCATTAATTCAAGATGTCTGGAGTAAGTTGGCTAATCAATATCCATTTACCATTTGTACACAAAGAGATATGTTTCTTGTTTTATAAATGAAACAACAAAGATTACCGGGTCAAATTTTATTCCATCTCAATGAAATGAAATGTAGTTGGTTTTATTTCTTAAGTAGGATGGTTTAATTGTTGTATCATGCCACAGTGGCGTAGTGGATTTCAGTCTCAGTGGGAACAACATCACTGACTGGAGTACAGGTACATCTAGCTGACCAATCCCAAAAAGAACGAAAAGCACGTTCCTTTGCTAGTCATCAAGTACACTGGAAAATACTTTAACTTTGCACAGCATAGCATACACAAATACTACATCTATATCATGTCAACGAAGCAGAGTAATTAACTATCCAAAACTACATCTTAAGCATTTCATTGAAAAGGGATTGGAACTATGTAAACTGAAGGAGAGACGTTGATCGATTAGAACGATTCAGACTTGTAAGTAGATTTTTCACTATATCAAGATTTGTGGATTTCTATCTGGCATCATTTTATCTTCCAGTTAGTGAGTACTATGATCTACCAGATGTAAACTGATGAATTGGACTTATTATACCACTTCACTCTGTTGACGAAAATCTTGACTTGAACATTCTGACTTCTTTTGAAAAATTAACGCTAAAATATCACAATTGTGTTAATTCTTCTGGGATTGTAAATCGTGTACAAGCACGTCTTTTGAAAGTTGTTATCATGCTTGTTTTTATGTCTACGTTTACTATTGTGCTATGTTTCCATGATTTTAGTTGTTGAACCACTTTATACAGTCTCTTACTACCTATCGCGTAACAGATGCAAATATATATAAAGGTGATAAAAGCTATATATTAAAACTTTATTTCATCATAAAAAAAACAATATTTTCTTCATCTTAGTTACCTAGTAATTACCTGTTCATGACGTAAAGTAGAATATATTGTCACATGCTGAGAAGTTGAATTTCCATAGATTTTGTGTTTTTTTTTCTTCAAGATGCGTATTTTTTTGTGTGTGCGGAAAGGGGTTATTATTTTGTTCGCATATCATTCATTTTTATTTGAATATCAGTTTCTGTTGGTCACGTGTAATACAACAATTATAAACTAATTTATGAATAATACTGATGAACATATTGTTAAATAACAACTTAATACAACAGTACACTTCAGTATTCATCAAAACATCCCAATTACACGTCGCATTATGATCTCAAAGGTATATAATACAAGATCGTCGTGAGCTAGTTTGTTTTACTGATTTTGAATGTATTTAGCATTCAATCATTGCTGTATTATCTTCTTGCCTGTGATGTACGACGTTATCAGATTGGAATTCGAAGACGTTATAGGTTTATTGATGCTTCAAACACTTCTTTGTCAAATAGGCTTTTTGCGCTTCGTTCTGACTCTATCACTTTCAATGTCAACCGCCAAATCTTTAGCCATAACAAAAACTTGATACAAATGGTTTCTTTCAAATTATTTAGCAAAGCTACAGCAGAAAGGGCTATAAAATCATGTGATATATGCCGAATAATGTAACCCACATACTCTACTTATCAATAGGATGATACTCGATTAATAAAAGAATTGGTACAGGTTAAGGAAGTTCAAATGAAATAATCTGTGATTAAAAAAGCCGAATTTCTCCTACGTTATATAATCAGATCATCATCTTGCTAACTGTCACTTATCGAGGAAATGGAATAGAAAGGATTATGTAAGTGTATGTGATGAGTTAATAACATAAATATAAGACTGAATTTTTAGAAGAAACTCTGTTCTTGAGTTCTTTCTCGTTGTTAATCAGATGGAGGAACACAGGTTTCTTCTCAGGCTTATCAGTTATACTTGTTCCCGCTGTTCTCATTCCGACTTTATCTATGAATCTCTTAAGATAACCATTTTCTTTCAAACGTCTCTCGATGAACTGAATTTCTTCACCCAGTTTGTCTGATGAACAAAGTTTCGTTACCCACTGAAACAGCGTTTTAACTAGTCCTTGCTTATAACTCATAGTACTAAAACTGTTAATCTTTACCAATTCTTTTATTATTTCTCAACAATGAACTATCATCCTCTTGATAAGTGAATTTATTGGATTGGTATATATCTGCTGATTTTATAGTCTGTATATAGTCGAAAGGAAGTCGATGAAATATAATGAATCCACTGTATTCTGCAAACTTGTTGTTCTACCTTTGCTAAGAATTTGGTAGACTATATTGATGAGAGTGTGAGACTGAGTCAAAGAGTCAATTAAAAACTTTAAAAGCAACAAGATTTCATTTCATTGATTGGCTGTTTGAAGTGTATACTGAATGTGGAAGACTTGCTTTCTAGAAATTTCAACGTGCAACATCTTAAATTTCTGACACTTTTGAGTAGGCTTTGTTCATAGTATGTTCCGTTGATAAATCGATAGACCGAATGTGCCACAATAAATTGTGATTGTGTTGGCGAGATGATGGGTTAGATCGAAGGAAGGAAGGTAGATTGATGCAAACGAAACACTTTATTGTATAGAGTATAAACTGTGTACACTTTCTCAAAGAGTATGACTTTGTATATTTCCATTGATCACATAAGTGTTTGCTCAAAAGATATTTTTAAAATTATCGTCTTCGTAAGTATCCGTAACAGTAACCACAGTTTTGTTGAAGTTTCTTCTCTGTTGTATGGGAACTGCTCTTGTACACTCGATTCATCACTTTTATATCTCATTTGTCGATTTTTAATCGCTTTTGTGAAAATTATTCTGTTTCAGCCATATTACTTTTCATCTTTTTCTGTATCTTTCTTTTTTCAAAATATCTCCTTTTCAGGGTAATGCGATCCTCACATGTCCTGAGATTACAGCTCCAACTGCATTTCTACGCCTGTTTTGTTTATTACTAAAATGTGCTTCTCAAGATTGTTATTTTGTAAAGTGTTCATCACCCAGCAACACTCTGACAACACCAACTTCGAATTCTCTTATCACTTCTTCAAAAAACAAAGAAATATATGATTCCACTAAAGAGTTTATTCAACAGTTAATTTCAGATGAAATACACTTGTTTATTAAAAATTTTTCTGTTTATGGATTGGATATCTCTCTGGTGCGTTTGTTAGCTTCACAACTATTATCATCTTCACCAGCTTCATTGAATTCATCATTATACACTGGGAATGTAACACGTATCGATAACAAGTTACTACCGTGTTCATCATTGTCGTCATCATCATTACAACCTCAATCAACACTTTCATCTCCATCACCGCTATCTGTGCATGGCGGTTCTGTGACATCTAATTTATGCCTTACTTTATTTGAATTGATTCCCTTGCTATTTCGTTGGTCCAGTTTATGTAAACCAGATTATTTGATTATTAAGCTACGTCTTTTAGAGTTGGTTACAATAGCATGTTTAGAGATAGGCCAAATATTACTGCCAGAGACAAGTTATAATGATGATGAAAAACAATCAGATGCTGTGAATAAAAAACTATACAATCCTGGAAAACAGGTTAGTTGCTGTTATTGTTGCTGACTGCTTTTCTTAACTAGTTCATAATAATATTATAAAGTGTGAACACTTGTCAACTTCGTTTCTGCTAAGTATTTACTACTGACAGAAGGTAAATGATTGATCGATTTTGGTTCCTTCATAGTAAACCGTCACTTTACAGTTTATGCATTACTGACTCTTATACATGACAAAAAGTAGAACTTTTAAACATGCCTCATAGGTATTTTACCTTTTCAAAAATTTCACTGCTCCTTGAAGTGAAGTGAGTTCCGATAAACACTTCTGATTCTTTTACTGTCATAAATTTCAGATGTAGAGAACAGCCTATATTTGGAGTACTTATCGAAGTTGGCTATGACTTTTTAAAATGCAAAGAATAAGAATCAGTAGACTGCATATTATCGTTCTAAAAAGTAAACGCGATATAGTTGGGGCATTTTTTAATTTTCTTAAGGGTAATAGACCCTATCAATATTCAGGTCTTATCAGTCAGTTAATGTCAGTGCGTAACTTGGCACTCCTGCATATTGTCCCAAGTTGCCATACTTCACATCACCACATTAAAACATAAGATAAGGAAATAGGAATGGCACAGAATTTGGGAGTTTGTGGGGATTTAGTGATCTTTCAAGTTGGCATTCATCATGGACTGACATCATTTGGAGGAACATTGGAAACCTGGGACCACTGAACAGCTGTTCCGTCCTAGTATGGGACTTCTCAACAGTGCCCATTCATGACCCCACCTCACCAGGGATCGAACCCAGAATCTTCAGGTTCCTTGGCCAGCACGTTGCCATCGAGATACTGAGTCGGAATCTAGTGGTTTATATTTCCAACTCCTGTCAGTTCATGACTTAGCGTGACCGCTACCTATACAAATGCAGTGGATCTCAGTCTCTGGTAGATGTTCCCATGTCCAGAAACCTGGCAGAGGATGAAAATGGAATCAAGTCACCCACATTCATATCTGAAACTTTTCTGGTTTTCTCAGGTTCACTGTTCCTGAAATTCCTTAAGGTATCTGGAGTTATAAAACCTCGGATCTTAGACATTATGCTACTCAGGTATATTCTGCAGTTATCACCGAAGAACTTATTTCCATCATTTAAAACTAGGGTAATCAGTGATTGTGACCATTCGGAAGAGATTGTATTTGATTCACATACTCCAACTAACACTTCAGTCACTCTAGCTAATAATCCTAGGTCTCCGTCACTAAAAGCCACTTGTACAAGTTTGTTGAGGCCTACTGCCGTTCTTCGTCTCATACCGTTTACAAATTCCTAGACGTGTGGTTGATTCGGATGCCGTGTGTCAATGTTTCACCCAGGAAATGACTAAGTAACGGATAATCGAGTAGCTAAGAATCTGTTCATCTATTCCTTCAAGTATCTGCCCTCCATCCTACCAGTCCTCGCTCCTACAACCGACACGTCTTTGTTTTCTTTAGTTTCAAAAACCGTCAGCTGCTTTTGAACTGTATGAAAGTTCTGACTACTTACATGTATTAGTGAACTCATTTGATGGCTTAAATAGAGCAGGAACTACAGCTTTAGCATAATAACATGTAATAATTTTATTTCGTGGTTTGTCGTCAGGTGCTTACAACCCCTGGGAGTGCCATGGGTGCGCAGTGCTGAGTAGTCCCATACTAGAAAGAAGCAGCCATTCAAGTGCTCTCAGGTTTCCAATATTCCTCTAACTGATGTCAATCCATGGTGAATACCAACTTGAAAAATTTTAACATCAATTTGCTCAGAATATTTGCATACTCAAATCAGTTTGATAGAAAATCGTACGTTTGAATTAAAGATACCATCGATATGAAGTAATCGAAAACACAAGAATTAAATGAATAAATGCGAAGAACTAAGTTTGCCAATATATATAAAAGAATTAGACGAATATCCCAGAGTGGGAGTTGGATGAGAGAAAGAGACAAGTGTATTCAACATATTAATAAAGGTTGCACAAAAGATTTATGTTAACTAGGAGCTAGTGTGAATAGGATTCAGTTAATTAGCTCAAGGATATGAAAGACAAAACAAAAAACACACAGCTTGTATGAATCGCCAATGATGTATAGAAAAGAAAGATGATTGTCAGCAAGACAAAAATCTTTACCATGGTAGACACAGACTGATAAATGTTTCTTTTTGAACATATAAGTTTGGTTTTAATCGTTTAATGACTAACGCTTCAGCAAAACGCAGCAAATTTGAGTTCATCTATTTATTAAATATTTTGATGGGGTTGGATGTTACTTTAGAAAGCAATCTAAACAACCATATTCACTCATCATCCTTTTGACATTGAATATTTTATTGTTTTTGTACATTCTTTGTTCTCATTCTACCAAAAACACTTTTTTCTATTTTTACTTTTCCACATTTTTTACTCTGTTGTTTGTTTTTAGTCGCGATGGTATTTACATGTACACTGTTGTTTGAGCTTCTGCCTTACTTCAACTAGTTCTTTTGCTTGACATGTATTTTTATAGCTGAGTTTTAAACGAAGCATAGTTTATAGCTTATGGGAATGCAAGAAATGTAACTTTGATCTAAGGATAATTGGAAGCGTCTTTGTTGAAAAAACGTTCATCGATCGAGGGGATCGTTAGGAGTAAACTACGTAACAATAAATCCTGCTTTCAAAGTAACTGCAACTAAAAAATTTCATTTTGATAGACTGTTTGAAGTAAGTAATTCTAAGTGAAACCTTGATATTTCGTAGCCTTTTAAGATGGCAAATTTGAAGATTCACCTGAGAAGGATCTTGTTCTATATCATTAGAGAGGTTTATGGATATCATTTTGTTGAAACGATTTTACTCCCGAAGTGTAGATACATATTCACTGTTTATATGTAGCTATAAAAGCGGAACATTCACAAAACTGAATACAAAAAGTAGTTGTTTTTAATATTCTCACACTAGTTTTATCCTACTAATTTAAGGGACTCAGTGAATAGTAGAACTAATGCATATTGAGTCATTAAACCTGTCTAGGGTAAACTTAATTTTTACTGTTTTTTTTATCGATTTTATAGACTGAACAATATGGGAATCTGATAGTAATGACAGACTCAATCTAGCACTGAAATCTAAGAATCACGTTTCGTCCTGTTTAGCAAATCTTTTATCTTGATGTGGTGGTCGGGTTCACATATCAGTAGTTTTTTGGGGGTTATACCATACCAGAAAAGTTTGTTAGATAGTGAACAGTTCATCAATGTAAGACTATATGAAGTATTTTTACCAATGACTAATTTAGTCACCTGAGAAAAGTTTAACGACAACAGAGGATTTTAAAGAGTGAATGGAAACAATTATGATAAAATTATTTTTCCCTTGGGTTCGTAGGGGAACATAGGGCTTCAGTAGCATGCCTCCATTGCACTCTGTTCTCTGCAGTCTTTTGAACCTGGCTCCACGACTTCCCACAAGCTTTCACTTCTTCCTTACATGATCTCCTCCATGTCACCCTCGAACGTTCAACTCACCGTTTCCCCTTTGGAGACAATAGTGTATTATACTAACGCTATGTTACATGAAATAAATTTGCATTGGCTGATAAAATAAGAAAAGTAGTCGGACAGTGTTTACAACAAAAAAATATATAACAGGCGGTTAAACATTGAAAATGATCATGGTTAGGAAAGGCTGACAATTCGTTATGTTTGAATCGGTAGACAACCACCACTTCAAAGAAATGCCATAAATCCGGATTCACGTAATCATCGATTACCTTAAACGTATTTTTGTTGTCTAAATCGTATTAAATATCAATTAAATGATGAATGAATGGGCTGCTAGGTGCCTGTACGATTTTCTGCCTTAACTTCCATGTAACATAGCTAAATGGTTTGTCTATACTTCAAATTAATTTCTTTTAGTTTGGATCTATTGATCGGCAGATGTTAATAATGTGTTGTCTAATTCTATCGTTCATTTTTCCAAAGAGCTTATTAATTGTCCATCACACTCAGGATTTCTTCTGGGGAGTGCCTGAGTGACAACCCATAGCTACAGACAAAGATGCATATGTCATACATAGATCAACGCAGAAGCTTACAAAAGCTTGCAATGGTTTAATTTACAACACTGCAAAACAACACGAGTACAATCTGTAAAATCAAACTACACCATTCATTCATAAAGTGTCTGTCGTATCTCATTAGCCTAGTAAATAACGTTTAGGCTTTTGATGTGATGAATGCTGCGTCTGAGTTTCAGTGGGAACAGTATCACTCTCTGAGAGGTAGGTATATCCAAGTAACGAGTCTTATGTGGAACGAAATAGGCGATCACTATGGTCCAACAAACTATGTACAATGTATAGCATCAATCTTACTCTCTTTTTGTTAGCTATAATGTATACAGTTTACCATCACAATTCTTAATAGTCACCTATGCTTGAACAAACTGAGTTATATGTTTCACACATACAAAATTATTTTGTCTTCATTACTCTTTTTTTCTTTGTGATTTTTGCTTTCTTATATGTTTAACTGTTTTCCTTACTCCCTTTAGTCAACTACAAATCATCGTATCCGTAATCGTTATAAATCTTCTTGTGGTAGTCATATAAAAAACTCAGATTCACATCATTATTCAGTTCGTATTTTACCTGCAGTAGGCAGTGTGTGTGCACCAATGCTTGCTGTACTAGGTGCTATGAATGCACTTTTAGGTTATGTTGCTGATGTTGTCCGTCTAGCTTTAGCTGAACGAGCTGCAAATGCTCCTGATGCTAAGAGCACTGCTGCTGCTGCTGAAGAAGTGAGTTAATTCAATGTTATATTGTTTTTCTTTTTCTCAACTTATTGACTTCATGATCAATCAGTTTCAAAACTATTAAATATTCGTAAATCTTAAATCTGATATTTTATTATTTGGGATTAATTAGACATTTATTCATACATACTCTATGTATGATATTTTTTTCGTGACTTTTATTGATGTAACTAAGCGATATGAGATGCCGTAACAAAACCTGTTTTAGTTGGCAATCATTAGTTATTATGTAAGGCATGTATTTGAATGTATTAAATGTATTGCAATTTTTTATATTTAAAGTACCGGGTTATAATAGACATTTGTTTCAAAACTTTTATAAATTACAGTGGTTGTGTAAATTATATCACTAGCAATAAACATTGTTACGTGTAGAAGTGCATCGTTTCAGTTTTTAGATATAGCGAAATAATAATTTTGTGTATTATTACATTTTCTTGGGTATTTTGCACATTGACATTGTGAATGACTCATCATTATTTGAAAAATTTGGTATGTTTAAGAAAAATTTTGATTCATGAGAGGTAAGTTCACTTGTATATTCGTTTCGCCAAAGTAGTGCTGTGGATCACGTGCATAGCGTCTAGAGCACGATCGTTCGGACTACACAGCATACTGATTATCCACAACGCATTTCCAATCGGCAGAGGTTCACGCCGTCGTTGACTAACCTGCATGCCTTGCCTAATATATTTCCTCTGACCTAGACAGGGGTTACTCAGTGACGATACCTAAGAAGCTTGACGAATACACATCTGCAGTCAGAATCTTGTAATCTCTACATACCTGGGTTTCACTGGCCATCCTCAGTAGCCGGATAACAGGATAGAGCGGACTGTAGAGCAATATACTCGCCTGTTTTCGGTCGTATTGTGTTCTCTGAGCTGGGTTGTTTAATCGTGAAGCTTTCATTGTTTTGCTAGACGACATCATCAGCACTAACTTCACTATGAAGTAAGCTGTCAGTTTCTCTCAGTGAATGATTTAGTGGCTTGCTCTGACGATGTGGTCTGTGATTGGTTGTTTCTTTTGGTTGCTGGGAAACCCAGGTGTACAGGAAGCCAACACATACTGATCAAATCCTCAACTAAATTAGCAGCAGTCCAACATCACATAAAATCATTTGCGTGCAGACTGTATTCAAAAGAGCGAGAACATACTGCAGCACAACGACTTCACGGAGGAATGAAGAAAACTATTTGATGTCCACCCTAAAGAAGAACGGCTACCCACGAAACTTTATCAAAAGATACCTATCCCTTGCATCATCAACTACAAAGTCATCGACAGAAATTAACAAACTCATCATCCTACTCTACATAAAGAATATATCAGAAATCACGATAAGATTGCTGAGACCACTTGGAATTGGTGTGGCTCATAAACCAACAAATTCTCTGTAAAAACTATTATGTAGACCAAAGGATGCAACAACCAAAGAAGACAAACTGAACATTGTTTACAAAAACAACTGTAATAACTGTAATCAACACTACATTGAACAAAGCGGTCACCCTCTTCGCCCTTGTCTACATGAGCACCAATTGGCCGACAAGCGTCACGACATTTCGTCACTGATTTCAGTGCACGTGGATAACAACTATGAACATGAATTCAATTCCGACCATGTAGAAATTTTGGACAGAGGAAAAGCAAAGAATATGGGAGAATTCCTAGAAGCTTGGTATTCAGGTCAGTCAGCAATCAGCAGATGTATAGACACAGACCCAATCTATCAACTAATAAGAAAAATGATAACTGACAGAAAGGTCAGAGGTGAAGCAGAGAACAGCCAACAGGAAAATCTGTACAGTCAGTGACACAACAATCAAAGGAAACAACCAATCACAAAGCAGTTTCCCAGGGCAAGCTACTAAATCACTCACTGAGAGATATTGACAGCTCGCTTCATACTGAAGTTAGTGCTGATGATGTCGTCTAGCAAGACAATGAAAACTTCACGATTAAACAACCCAGCTGAGAGAACACAATACAACCAAAACCATCCACCTGAGCTACAGATATCCTCCACTGTTTCATGCCCACCTTTTGATAGGTAGTCAGATATCTCGCCAGTGCTGAAGATAACTTATATTGACAAACCTCAATCAGGGCTTTTTATCCCACCTAAGATTTCGTCAACAAGTAGTTCATTTGGGTTAATGCAACTTACTAAGTGAAGTGGTCAACGCATTCCTTCAATTCACTCTCTGTCCTAAGATAAAGAATTGGTTCAGACCAATCCTACAGCATCATCTTAGTTCCTACTGATCCTCATAGTCGGTTTTCGACTGATATTCTGTCGAAAAACCGCTCTTTGCTCTAAAAATTAATTCTGTATCCAACACTGCGATTCCAACAGAAGTAACCATTACATTTCCTGACACAGAATGAATGTTGTAGCTTGATCACATAAGCCAAGTGAGGTTAATTGAATAACCCCATTTGGGCCTTGTATGTTATTTTTAGAAGCAAATCATGCATCCACAGCTCTAGATTCCAGAGTTTCTGCAGTAGTTACTTGTTGTCCGATTCGACATAGCTTTCGGACGTCTAAAGTTTCAATGTGAAGTCGACAGGATCACAAATGTCAGTCATTTATCCCATACTGCAGGAGAGCCACTGTGTAAGAAGAGGCTCTCAAAATGTTTTATCTCTCTATATGATAAAGATTTGCTGTTTAAAACGATAACTTGTGGATTGATTTGAATCTTAGTCGAAACACCAACGGATTAAGATGCTCATGTTGTTTTCAATCGATACGTTTTAGCTAAAATGATGTGTGCATCCTGAATTTCACTGCTACACAAATAACGTCAGGATTATTCAACTGTTGGACGGATAAGTGTATAAATCATATCACTAACTGGTCTGCGTAACCTTATGGTAGAAGCGATGGAATAATAGTATAATCTTTCTGTGCTTGTATCAATGTTAATTTCTTTTTTTTAAGTGATTTTGTCGTAGTTTTTCTAGATATTATCATTTAGACCGATACCTTATTGTTGTAAGTATGATGTCCAAGTTTGGAACCATCATTAAGGTCTAGAAGACTACAATTAATTTTTACATCTTCATTTAAATCAGATAAAAATTCCGCCTTGATATTGACAGTCTTTTCTTATGTGATTAGTTTAGCGTTTCTTCAAACCAATTTCTACGCCATTATCATCTTATGTGAAGATAAACAGTAGATCACTGCACTCTGGATTTTTAAGTCATTTTAGTCCATTTCAATTCATAGTATTATCATTTACTTTTAATTCTCTATTTAAAATTATTATTTTTATCACAACATTGCTCACTCACTGTTTTCATAGCTTGTGATCGATGCTGAAAGAGTATAGGCAGCCAGATGTCTGTAAATTTATTATTTCACCTACTTTCATTTACTGTAAATCACATTCATATAGCAGAACAGAACCATAATAGGCTTCTGATGAACAAGTGAATATTCATTCATTATCGTAAAAAGTATGCATCAAGCAAATTTTAATGTATGCATACTAGGATTTAGTCAATTATTATCATACTGATAGTGAATGCCATTCTCATTTCACTTTATTACTACTGTTGCTATATTCATGCTATTTGCATTTACTTATCCTTTCATAAGAGTTGATTTGGATTTCATGGGTGAAAAGAAGCATATTTTCAGTCGAAACTCAAGATAGTATATTTTACTGCATACTGAAAGGCATCCTCTTGATGATCTATTCATTTGCACGATCACTAGATAAAGACAGGTTTAAATAACCACTTCAGTCTTCTATTCGTATCCTGGTTTGTAAGCGTTAATCTCTAGGTGATAAAAAATTTTCATCCGTTTTGAATATGTTTCTTATTATCAGCATCTCTGGAATTGTTTGTTGCTGCTAAAAGTGTAAAACAAAGAAATATTTTTAAATTGGTTTATATAGATTTTGATTGCTGCCAGACCACATCCAAAATTGGCCGGTTTACTTGCTCGTCTTATTGGCTTATGGAGACCACATCAATTGCCTACAATTCAACCAAATGTTTGCGAATCTGATTTACGCGATTGGGTACAATTAATAACAATATCTATTCAACATCAAAATTGTGACGATGAAGTGTGTTTCCAGTTATCTGAAGCTTCAATCACCGCTTTAACCAACTATGCATCTTTATATGGAGGTGAATATTCACGTAGTGCGCTGGTACCTTCGTCAACTAACTCATTGTCATTAGGTTTACTAAGATTGGCAGAAGAAGATCAGCTGCTTCAAATGAAACATTTATCCAAAGAAACATTGAGAAGTTCTTGTGATTCATTTAATTCTAAGCGAAGTACTCATTGTCGACGACGTATGCGTCTTTTACTGCGAATACTAAGACGTTTAGTATTTTCAGATCCTGTTTGTCGTGCCCGGTTGGGATCCTCTACAAATTCAGTAAAGTGTAGTACCATTTTGTTCACTACGCTTAGGTATCTTTTGATCATAACACAACGCTCAGCTGATGCTTCGACAAGTAAACTTTTAAGAGAAATTATTGATCTTTTGTCACCTACAATACGTCCAAATCATGAGAGAAATGCTGTAAGTGGTGATAGAAATCATAATAATCGTTCTAAAACTGTACCATCTGATTCATCGTCAAATAGAATTATTCCTAAAGCTGCTGCATAATTGAGAGGTTAGTTTTAACAGTATTCCAGTGTGATGTTATTACGCATAGTTGAAAGTATTTGACTGGAAACTCTGAACATAGGTGCTTAATTGCTTACAATTGTCAGCAATGTTTGTCTACAGTTTCCTTATGTTTTCATTAAAGCTCAAATTCAGGCCAGTTAGCTCCATCAGTTTATAAAGTTTACAAGTTCCAATATTAAGGTGATGTACACAATATATTTATTTAATCGGAATTATTTGTTAAGCACCTCTGATAAATACATCTCAGGGTACTAGAAACTATAAAGTAGTATTTAAATTGCTTTGTTTTTTAGTTTATGTTTTTTTAACCCAAGTGATCTTCAGTTACTTAGCACTATATCTGAAAAATAAAGCACAGTGAAGCAGTTTAAAACCTGCTCTTCGAATCTGTCAGTTCATCAGAAACAAAAGAGATCAACAAGGTGTAAAAAAGTGACACAGACAAGTGGTGGAGAAAAGATTATGTTAGGAGTAAAAAGAGATTATGAAAGACATACAGTACTCTCAGCTAACATTGATAACGCTGTGATCAATTTTCCAACATAGTAGTACATGTCATACTGTATTTCGTTACTAAGAGCTTACAGGATATTTTGATATATCGCTTGTTATCTAACTTGATTTATACTGAATCCACATAAGAATAGCTCTTTATCATTTAAAATAAATAAAAGATATTGATAAGTCAGTAATGATCGGTGACATTATGTCAATGAATTTATGCTATTTAAGGTGACTGGCAATGAAGATAATGGTCAGTGAAACAATCACTGAAACGAATGGGTATCTGGTTATTTCCAAGGATAGGTGACTCAAACGTTGTGTGGAACACTTATTAAAATAGTTCAACTGGTCCACGGCCACACTTCAGTTCCCCAACATGCAACGCAAACCTCAGCGAGACTTAGATATTTGTCCTCCAACTCTTTCTGAAAGTGAGAAGGCTGTTCAAACGCGAAACGCTGCGAAATAGCAGTACCTTTCAGTTAGCCATCATGAGTTCTCAAGAATGGGTGTAGTAGAATAATACTGAATAATTTACTCAGTAATACATAGTATATGGGGATCAGAGGTAGTCGCCCTATACTAGTTGAAATTACTCATTAATCCTGTTCATAAGTAGTCAGGGAAGTATTCCTGTGAAAATCAAAGGGGATTCAGTTCAATTAACATTTTATTTAAAATCCTGATGTCCCTAGTTATTCCATACCTAACTATATCTCGAGAAAACCATGCAGATTTTAGACCTGGACGAGGGTACATCGATCAAATATCTACCCTTTGACACGTTCTCAAACATCGGCTTACTTACCAGCACCTGAAAATTGCCATATATTTTTACCTGAAGGCAACATTCGACATTGTAAGTCGAGAGGTGTTGTGAGTGTGTGACCTTGAAGGGAGTGCGGAGCAAGTGTATTATATACTAATTGAAGCTATCTACTTAAACTCATGTGGCCATGCAAAGGCTTATGGAGAGTCATCATCTGAAGTAGTGACAACTGGTAGTGCCCATTAAGAATCTGCGCTATCGTTATTCTTAATTAAGTTTGTTGTAGATATGATAATAGAAATGTCGGTAACGCCTACTTTTCAGGAGTTGAATGACGCCCAGGAGAGTTTTTTCAAATATATAAAAAGTCATATGGAAGCTTAGTATTCATTGTCGATTAGTTGTGTAAACACATTTACTTTGCCAGAATTTACCATCTTCTGTTTGTCTATTAGATAAATACGGTAATGATATCATGTGAAATATTAGTAACTTTCAGCGGAAAAGCCAATTTCCTTACGTAACTGTAAAGGTTTGCATATACTGGTTTTGATATTTCATATCACAGTACTGTGTTTACTTCCATTGAGTGAATTCACTTGTTTGTAGAAACCATGCGTATACTTATATATTTAGTATTCAGATTAGTAAGACAGAGTTATGTTGCATAATATATTTTATTGAACTTTTCAAATGTTATCTAAATGATATTGAAGTAACTTTCCTTCATCGTTCTACTCACTGACCTATTCATAGATCGTACCAAAATATAATTATATACTAATATGTCACCGAGTAACAAGATACTTTGTACCAATTTTAGTCTGTATCTTGCTTAGCTTACATTAACTGTCAAAAGCAGCGTCTTTAAAAAGAAGAATGGAGACAAATATTGATTTGTTTTGTAATTAATTAAGGGATGTGTACTGATTACTAATCAAGTCTGAAAACAGAAGATGGTAATTATTCAGTCTACCCGAACTGATCCTTAGTAGGTAACCGATTTAGCTTTCTGGCTGAATTGTGTCAATCAATTTTCCAATATGAATGTGAAGCTAACTGATACTATACTGCAATACACTGTTTTCTGATTTTGAAATTCAATCACTGAAAAAGTTCTGCAAATGATATTTTCGAAAAGTATTATGAAATAACTTATTAACAATCATCGTTTTTTATGCCAGTGAATAAAAATAATCAATCATCGGTGTTTTAGGTTTGGAACTTACGTGTCCTATTTTTAGACTTGATTAGATGATGCAGTGCTCTCCACTTAATGACGAATTCTGATTAGTGTTTGCTGGTGTTTTTTCGGAAATTTCGATTTACTAATTTTTCATAGATATTCATGATAAACCAATAAAATCAAATTGAATTAAGCTATAATTTGGTGAAAAAAAATTATTCCTACGATATTATGCTTTGATACCCTGAAAATATTTTCAGTCTTTTGAATATCTTCATTATGATATGATGGATGGGTAGTGGTTCTCAGTGAAAGCACCCATCCTAGATCCTATCTTTAATATCAAAATGAAATCATCGGCTATATCGATACATCCTTAAAGGAGCTGATATACCAATAGAAACTGATCAATTCGGACTAAATCAATCAACAAGCGAAAATATCAAGCTCTGATATCTTTATTATCATTTATTTAGCATATTGCTTACTTTTTTTAAAAGTTTCCTGCACATCTTTCTTTCCAGATCGCTTATTGCATCCTACTTGGATTGAACTATCTGCATATAGTTGTTTCCAATTCTGCTGTGTCGCTAAAATTCAGTGAAACTATAACCTAGATTCTTTCAAATGTACAAATTTTTCATGTGTTTCTATCGTTCTTTCTTTTTTGCCTTCCATTTTTTCATGCTCTTTAGTTTCATTTATAGGAATAAAAATATGCTTTTTTTTCCCCCAAAAGACTAGTGTGATGAAAGGCTTTTGTATATATAAATATATATGTATTATTCATATGACATATACAAAAACGTATTTGGAGCTGTAAACATTTCAAGGCATGTGAGGAAATGTATTCAATACTAATTTTTCTACAAAATGTAACATTTGAACAGTTTGTTTAATTTTTATATTGTATAAAGTACATGAACACATATCCTTGAACATAGTATTTCATTACTTCATTTTGTGATTTTAGATTTTATACATGCTGTTTTTTTAAAGTTTAAGCTATGAAAATATACATACTTTGTTAATTGTGTTGATCATTTGTTTATCATACAAGTGAATTGTCATGATGTATGATAGATGAATATGAATATGGTTTCATTTTCTGTGCGTTACTTTTTTTGTTAATTTTGGTAACTTACATTACTGATAAGCTCTGTGATCTGTAGGATCAAACGACTCGAGTGTCAGATTGAATACCTACTAATAACCAATCGTAAAATGTGAAGTATAACTTTAAAATACATTAGATGAAGTATGATTATGTAGGGTAAAGATGTACTTTTCGTCTCTCAGGTTATTATTAATTCAACCAGAATGCTCACGTGATTGGAGTTCTTAGTGTGTCAGCTATCAATGTTCAATGAATCTTAGGAAAACGGTTTACAAAAACAATAATCACGCAGATAGATTTGCTCTTTATCCCTTTCAGAATTCTGAGTAGTTTATTGGTTTTCATACATATTCATGCTTTCTTTTTGCATTTTTTTTTCGGGATTTTCTTTACCTTTGATTAGACTACCTGGTATAATCTTCGTTAACATACTGTTTGTCGCATAAAAAAACCAGGATCTTGTTGATTTTATCTGTGACATTGTTAGTTGTGGCAAGTTGAGGGGTACAAGGCTCCAAGCTGTTCTCTAGCAAAATTTTCACTGTCATTTATGTGATGATAAAACGAATGGGTTCTCCTAACTACAATTTGACTGATAATCCTGGAGAATGTTATTCTTCATATGGACCAAGTTGTTCTATAGTGTTTGATGTTCTTATGAACGCTAAGTTATTGTATTCTTTTGAGCCCTCTCCTAATCTTATCTGATGTGTGTGAGTTGTATAGAATAAATACTGTTGTGGTCCATGATTTAAGAGTACTTCTTCAGTCTAGTTCAATAGTTTTCGGAATAAATTCTAGCGGATGATTATTCAATTAAATAATCTTGTTCGCACATTTTATTTCCTTCATCTTTTCATTCTTATCCGTTACTAGAGTGTTTGCCCTGTTTAAAAGATTTGAGTCAACAGAGACCTTTGTACTGATAAGATGTTATGGACTGAAGTTTAAGTATTTGTCCAAGTGTGTTCCTAAGCTTCAGTTAAAACACTATTATTCCACTGTGATATATACCATAAACCAACTAAAATGGAATTACATCCTACCATAGTGCCTAAGTTACGCAGTTTAGTTAATGAACTTTGTCCGGCACTACTGACTATAACATGGTGATAATTGTTAAATATGAAACCAACTTTCTCACAGACTGAAAATAGGTTCGATTCACAAATAATTTAATGTATACGGAGTTTCATTTATAGAAATTTTAAGTAATTTGATATACACTCAACACTGCAACCCGAAGATAATAATCGACAGTATATAGATTTTTGAAACTATTTCATCAAACTATGCTGGTAAATACTGTCAGTCACTATCTTCCGGTCGTGGTTGCATAACCGGTGAACGTTGATATACATAAGACTGCTTGGGATCATATGGTAGCAACTCTCTGTGTA